ACAGGCATGCGTTATCATAGGCCCTAAATGGGGGTGTACACGGCAGCGCTTACTTTGCGAAGCCTCCATTCAAAAACCCACAGTAAACATCAGCAAACCTAAAAATTGAATAATTAATTCAACAACAGTGTAGCCTGTTTCCATAAATGATTGAAATATATGCAAAGATGACATAATGTCCAAGCTAAACACTATACTTAGGCACTGTAGCAATGCTGATGTCAATACAAACACAAATACTGATGTTCACAATTTCAGTAGAGGCTTTAGTGTATCTATATTTGCTATTTAGCTCTAACATTTGTTACATTACACTCAGGGCCACAGCAGTTCTGTGATTATGGCTAGATAAATAAAAAATCAATTAAAAAACAGTAAAGGTAGATTTAATTAAACAATTTCCCTTAAACAAGTTTATGACAAGATTTAATAATTTTTCGTTGTGGAACTTATTGATTATCCAAAACAGCCTGAGGTACAAACAAAAAACTGTAGCCTTCAGCCCCTCAAAGCCATCCAGGATCCCTGAATGACAAAATTCAGGAAAAATACTTGCTCCGACCCTGGCATTTGTACAGTTAGGAATCTATTTGAATGAGAAGGACGCAGTTGTTTTGAACATAATGTGATCACTGACCCGTGGGGCACTAGCAAACTATGGTGTTTTGATCAATAGTGATGAACGTGTGAAAAGTGGACAACAATAACTCATCATCACACTGCAGTGCGTCGCTATACATAACCAGATTTGTTTTATAAAACCTATTTGGATGACAATACTTTATGCTGTGCCATCACACAGCTACTTTATATAAAAGGACAGCAGCACAGAGGGCATCTATTGAGCATCAGTCGGGCCCCCACTAAAATAACAATGGGAAAGGTAAGTTTATTATGTTACTGAAAATACAGAATTAAAAACCAAAGCAAAACATTAACCTTGAGCTAGGAGCTTGAATGAAAAAGGAGCTAAAAATTTGCGAATGCTGTGAAATACATTTGCAGATCATATTCTACGAGGACAGAAATTTCCAGGGTCGGCACCATGAGTGCATGAGCGACTGTGCTGACCTGCACCCCTATTTCAACCGCTGCAACTCCATCCGGGTGGAGAGCGGCTGTTTCATGGTTTATGACAGACCTCACTATCTTGGCCACCAGTACTTCCTGCGCAGGGGGGAGTACTCCGACAACCAGCGCATGATCGGAATCAATGACTGCATTCGCTCCTGTCGCATGATTCCCATGGTAAGCATAAGATTGTATTAAAGATGCAATGAGTTAATATTATTTAGAAGTGGGCATGTTGAATTGTTGAATTATTGGAGTACAAAGCAAGGTCAAAGAAAGAAGACATGTATGTGCTCAATAAATTATTGATAAAACTCAAAGTAACAAAATGAAGAAGCTAAAGTAAAATAAAGGCTGACTTGGATCAACAGGTAGAAGCTCTAACACAAACTTTGTAAAGGAACTGTCATTATTATTAAACAACTTGGAATAAAATTGATATAAATTTAGTTTTGGGGAACATTTTAGAATATAAATCCTTGACAGCTAATGTTTGACCAAAACCTTCATCATATTTGGTTCCCCACATCCAGTTGGCTCAGATGCTGGGACCATCTGGTCGTCCCTGCTCCACAAAAGAAACATAAACTGAAGAAGAACTTTTTGGTTAAGGATGTTTTTCCATTAGATTGTCTTAGATGGACTGTTTTACTCTTCCATAGTTTCTGACTAATAAACATTGTTCTGCAGCACCGGGGCTCCTACAAAATCAAGTTGTATGAGCGTCCAGATATGGCCGGCCAAATGCAGGAGGTGAGCGACGATTGCCCCAACGTCCAGGACCGCTTCCGTATGTCTGACATTAACTCGTGCAATGTGGTAGACGGCCACTGGCTGCTGTACGACCAGCCCAACTACAGGGGGAGGACCTACTACCTGAGACCTGGCGAATACCGCAGATACAGTGACTGGGGCGGTGCGAGTCCAAGGATCGGCTCTCTCAGGCGAATCACCGACTTTAATTAAAACCTTCTGAACCTTGTTCCTTTGTCTCTTCTCAATAAATATGCTGGGCTTAAACTGCTTGTGTTTATGTCTTTATCCAAAAGAAGACAGCCTTGATGTTTAAACATTTTTTTGCTGTAACATTTAAACTTCTTGTAAAACAATAGTTTGTTAGACAAGAAATGTTTGTGTTGACTTAGACCATTTCATGCCGCTTTCTTCAGAGGTAACGAGAAGCAATCAGTCCTTAAATATTCCAGACGACTCTAAAAAGTTTAAGCAACCAGGAAAAAAACAAACAAAAAGCAGCTGACACCACTCTGGTCTTTTGTTTGGTTTATTGGTAGTACTTTTTAAAATATTTCACATGAAATATCTCACATCGGCATTCTCACATAATGATGCGTCTGATGGATCCAACCCTGGGACTCATGCCTCCCCACTCATGAAACCTCCTGTATTCACCAGGATGTATCAGGTACTGCCGTCCCCTGTAGTGAGGATGCTCGTAGAAGATCCAGTAGCCATCCATTACGTTGCAGGAGTAGATGTCATTGAAATGGAAGCGTTCATACAGGGAGGGGCAGTCATCTGTCAGCTCCATCATCTGTCCTCCAAGTTCTGGGCGCTCGTAGATCATCAGTCTGTGAGTGCCTTGGTGCTGCAGAAATGATGATTACAATCATCAGTGTAGATCAGTGAAACCTTTAATACAAAAATGCCCAACTGAGACTTACCATAGGGATCATACGGCAGGATCTCACGCAGTCGTTGAATCCCATCCAGCGCTGGTAGTCTGGATATTCGCCCTTCCTCAGGAAGTACTGGTAGCCCATGTAGTTGGGTCTCTCATAGACCATCCAGTTACCACTGTCCACTCTGATGGAGTTGCAGCGACTAAAGTGGGAATGTAGGTCAGCGCACTCGCTGCTGCACTCATAAGAGCGACCATCGAAGTTCCTGTCCTCGTAGAAAATGATCTGAAAGAAGTTTATTCAGGGATTTTCTTTAAATTGGATGCATGCTTGATTAAATTAAAGACATTTTGCTAAAAACTCCACACGTGAAGTGGTTCTGCATCACTGGTTTTCGATGAATAGTCCATGCAGGTATGCAGAAGCACAAAAGGAACAGGATTTTCTTTTTAAAAAGAGGTATCCTTACCTTACCCATTGTGTCGGCTAACTTTTGTCACACTGTAGCAGCAGCCGTGGGCTCCAGGCTGCCTTTATAACCCATGGATGACCTGTGTCATTGTGATTGAGAACAATGACTGGGCTGGTCAGCTTTTTCACACAGAACATATTTTTTTCTTGTGCTTTGTTTGGTGAGGTCTGCAGTGCAAATCAGCTGTTTTATTTTCTGAGCCGAAGCTGCCCCTTGCATTTGTTTAATGGCCTACACATAAAATCCACAACTAAACTAAAAATACCAACAACTATTGTCAACAAATCCCTAAACATATACAGTATTTACACTGGAATGGTGAAAGATGGTATATAGACATATCACCAAATTACATTCACGTGTGTTAGGGTACACATTTTACACATTGCGTATAATTAAATGTATCAATGTTACTGCTAATAGCAAAGATGATGCATTTGTAAAAGTGATAAAAGCTGCAGTGAACATCTTTCACATGGTACTGCTTTCAGCTGCCACTGCTGCACCCTTGTGCAAAGTGGCAGCAGCCTTTTATAGGTCCAACAATTCAACCGCTTTTTTTTATGTCAGCAAACAAGTTGTTTTAAATAACCTCTTGTCTGTTGTGCTTTTGTTTGGTTCTTATCAGCTTTTTCTGATACGATGTTTAATACACTCTGTGATTATTTAATGCAATGGAGATACAGCAAGTATAACGTGCTATTATTAATGCATCAATACATTTCAATCTGTATTGTTAGGATTATTTGATTTCTTTGCTTGTCATATGACAATTAAATCATTACTAATTTATTTACATATGAATCAGTGTCGATACTGTGGATTAGGAGCATCGTGTCAAAGTAGTATTGCCTAATTTAAAGCCTGATTATAGTCTTAATCATGATTATAGTCATCTATAAATATATATATGGTGTACAGCATGCATTTTAACTGCAAGAGGCTTATTGTGACATTGTAATTATTCATATCTCAGAACCTTGCAAAGTTGTAAAGTCTATAAAACATATTTCTGTAAAGTTTTATTGCAGTAAAAACCCACATTTGCCAGAAGTGCAACACTTGATCTTTTTCATACAGGGGTCAGCTTGTTCAGGCAGTTTGTTTTACTATACTAATATTACTGGTGTAACTTAGTCAGTGAACAATGGGTCTATCAGAATTCAACCCTTATAAAATACTTTCCCTTCTATCAAACAAAAACTTAAGGACCTTAAGAAGAACCATTCATGTAATCCTAATACAGTTATCCAGTATAGTGAAAACTGAAAAATAGATGATAGATGGTTAATAAAGTAGGGAATGTAAGTATTGTATGTAAAGTTGTATATTGTGCAAATGCAAGCAATTGTTCTACCGGAAATATCAAAAAAGATTGCCAAAATGTGTTAGTTACTGATTATTCAAAATATAAAACTGGTTTGCCCTTGTTTTTAGCAAAGTTGTGTTAAATAAAAAAATATATAGAAAATTATAATGTATTTATTTAAGTGGGTTTAAAGATTTAGAACCATCAATATGTGAACTGTGAATATACATATATGACTGGGTAAATCAGCTATTTATTTTGATTGAGGACTGAGTTGAAAAACAACTTACACAGATCTGTGTCCAGTCTATTTATTATGTGCACCACACAATAAAAGAGGTCAGTTCACAGTAAATTATACATTACAGCTGAAACTACATTCAAACAATGCACAAATCACAGTTTCAGGATAAAACAAAGCTTTCTCTTTTTGCCTTTGACAATTTGTTAATATTAATACAACAAACCATCTGCAAAACCTTTTAGCCAAATAAAAGTCATGGGACAGTTAAGATTCTGTGATGCGTCTGAGGGAATTGAATTTCATGTCATTACTGCCGACTCCTTTGAAGTCCCTGTACTCTCCTGGCTTCAGAAAAAACATCCGGCCCTCATAATTTGGTTGTTCAAACATCAACCAGTAGCCCTCCATCACCTTGCAGGACTGCATGCTTGACATGTGATAGTTATCCTGGATGGAGTTGCAGTCATCTGTCAGTTCGCGCATCTGGCCTTCAAAGTTTGGTCTTTCATAGATCCTCATATTAAAAAGTCCCTTGTGCTGTAAAAGTTATAAAAAGTATATATTTTAAAGGAGTGAAATCGTTGTTTTGCAGTTCAAAACAAATGTACCCAGCTAATGCTAATGCAGAGGTACCGAAAAATTGCTTTAGGCCTGGAAAGGAAATGGGAATAAGCTATATGCTAACTTTGTTGCTGTGTCACGTGGGAATCTTAAAAGTAGTTCTGGAAAGTTGTCTTGTTTTGAAAAATGTAAGTCCTTAAGCTCTTGCTAGGTAGCATGCTAACAGGTAGCAGATCTTATAGGCTAGATATATAAGATCTATACATAAAGCAGCTTTGATACAAAATGTCCATTCATGACTAATAAGTGTAACAAAAACAATCAATTTTTTAGCTCAAGTTTACATTTGTGGCAAATTGCTTTATAGAAACATAAATTATGTTTCTGGAAAGAGAGATAAAAAAAAAGAGATAAAAATGCGTGATAGAAGCGATATGCTGGACATATATAGAACACATATCCTCTGCTTCAGACAACGAAGTTGAACTTCTCATCTAATGGGTTACACATGAATTCAACAAACTGATCCTTTACATTGCTGACTGTCCTCGTCTTTACAAATGATTATATTATATTTACCGCAGGGACAATGCGGCAGGACTGAATGCAGTCGTTGAAGCCAAAGGTATTCGTGCATTCGGGATATTCTCCCCTGGTCAGGAGGTACTGCTGGCCCATGAAGTCGGGCTGGTTATAGACTATGAATGTCCCGCTCTCCACCCTGCAGGAGTTGCATTGGCTCAAGTGAGAGGCAATCTCAGAGCAGTCGCTGACGCACTCAAAAGAGCGGCCTTGGAAGTTACTCTCCTCGAAGAAGATGATCTAGAGAAAAAGACACAAATTGTGTTTGTGTGAGACTATTTCCAGAGAAAGTGTTCAGAGTGTCTGAGATTATCGTAAGAGTAAGTCATATCAGACAGTGCTGCACGGCAGAAGTTACAGAATAAAAATACTATTGAGTTTGACACAGTATATATAGAGTTCAATGTCCTACACCAGCTGCTGCAGGGATCTGTACCCTGCATTACCTTTCCACTCATGGTCGCACGATTTGATTTCTGTTGTTTTTCTCACTGGCGCGCTGCCTTTTATGCATCATGTGACATCCAAAGAATCTGCCTCAATTGTACGGAATGACTGAGTCAGCTCATCAGTGTGGAAGTCTCTACTGTACTACACATCAAACTGTGAACACTGCAATTACTGAGATTTAACTTGTGCAGATTTAATGGCGGCAAAGCAAACATCTTTTTCATTATAGGACACATTTATATTTGTAGAGCATTGAATAATAGTGTTTATAGATGAAAAAAAGCTTTGATTTTCAGATAAATATACAATATTTGAAAGACGAAATGGTGCAGTTCTCAACTCACTTGAGGCTGCATTTTTTAATTTCTTTTTTTTCCACACCATAAACAGGACAGACTTTGCATTTAGTTTTATGGCAAGACTGAAACAATAGAATCCATCCACTCTTTTAACTGCCTATTCAATCCAGGGTGACTGTTCACTGAAAGTGTGAGCACTTATGCAAAAGCAGAGATTTTGATAGGTCGCTGGTCTGGAGCATTCAGGTGTGTGTTAACACAATGCCACCGTTTCCCAGGAGTGGACCCAAATTCACCCCCAGGTCAGACCGTGCAATGCTCAGAGAAACTGCAAAAAGCCAAGCAGCTACATCTCAGACTCTACAGGCTTCGGTTAGCATGTCAAATGTTAAAGTTCAATTGGACAAACGCTGAACAAGTATGGCTCAAGCATCTCCCAAAGTGGAAATGTTTAAGCCATAATGCACACATGTGACAAAAACCAAACATAGTATATCAGCACAAACATCTCAAACCAACAGTCAAGGTTTGGGTGTTTTGCAGCTACAGGAACTGGCCAACTTGCAGTCACTGAATTGAAAGCATTTCAGTCAAAGGTGAGCTCATGTGTCTGACAGCTAAAACTGTCAAAGTTCATTAGCCTTCATTTATTAACAGTGCATATGCACAGGTGTGAGTGTAAATCATCAGTGATTTATCAGGACTGAACCTTTTTAATTTAAATATCTGGTATTCTTTATCTAATTTTATCTTTATTAAAAATAACGTCTATCATTACTGGATGCATCTCTTACCCTTGTATTTCTTAGCTTTATCTGACTGATGTTGGCAAATCTTTTTTTTTTGTCTCTGCAACTGACAGCTCACATGCTCACGTGCTCTCCCTCCTCCTCCTTTCTTCTTATTTTTCTTGTAAATTATTTTGTCTTTATTCATGTTAACTTTGAATCCAAAGGTTTTTCATTTTTTCATTGTTGTATGTTTTCACTTGAGCCACGTTGACTGTCTCAGGGAAACAATCATCACCATCCCTGCTATTTCAACCCAAACCCAATGTTTTCTATTTATTCATAAATGATCATCACTCCTATGAAAACACTTTGGAAAGATTTCCCATTTCTGTATTACTCACTGGACCTCTGAACCATTGGACCATTGGACACTAATATTTTAGGTTTCTCTCCCTTCCCTCCTACATCATAGTCACCACTCTCTTCACTTCATCTCCAGGTAAACTCATAGTCACCAGTGCATATGTGTCCTAAATCTGACAGTAATTTTACATGGAAACTCTTTTTTGCACAGGATTTAACATATTAGTACACGAGGACCAGCGATCTGAAGCACACCCCTAAATGTACAAAGGAATGACTGAAAAAGAAAAGAATACAGGTGTTGCAAGACCCAAAGTTCAGACCTTAACCTGATGAAAATGTTGTGGTGTGACACTGAGAGAACGATGCGTAACCAAATGCATAAACAAAGGAACTAAAGCAACACTAAAAAGAAGAGTGGGCCACAATTCCTCCACAATGATGCCAGAGACTGATAAAGTCATACATTAATTACTACTGAATCATGGGGTGTACTTCATTTTTAAAACGATTGTATAGAGTCCTGTGGAACGTTTATTTTTCTCATAGCTGTAATAATATTTTGATTGATATGTTGATTATAGCCAATACGGAGCATTAAAGTAGCTCGGTGATGCTGTGATGTGCTGTATTACAAATGGCGTTTACATTAGACCATCATGGTCATTTTTGTATGTTATCTTTGTGTCCACGTCAATTATCTATAACTGAGATAACAACAGAGCAACAGCGGCGCTTTGCTACATAAGTATTTAAGTAGAAACTGTTTAAGTGATGATGCTGAATCGAGAGATCCAACCTCTAACTCAGGGGTGTCGAACTCCAGGCCTCGAGGGCCGGTGTCCTGCAGGTTTTAGATGTGTCCTTGATCCATCACAGGTGATTTAAATGACTAAATTACCTCCTCAACATGTCCTGAAGTTCTCCAGAGGCCTGGTAATGAACTAATCATGTGATTCAGGTGTGTTGACCCAGGGTGAGATCTAAAACCTGCAGGACACCGGCCCTCGAGGCCTGGAGTTCGACACCCCTGCTCTAACACAGCTGGTGTGAAAGTTGTGATGGCATTTAGTATTTTGTTGAATGTGCATAAATGCCATGGGAAATATTCCTGATTAAGGCTGTAAGGTTATGATAAACTTAGAAGTTTATCTTAAAGGATATAAAGCATGACGTTTGCATCTTTGACTCCACACATGAAGCGAAAGAGATACTTCAAAAATATTTCATTTTTTTTTTTTTTCTCCCAGAGTTTCTTGTGAACGGACAGACAATCAGCACATTTCCATGATGCGTCTGATGGAGCTGATTTTCATTATGTTGCTCACTCCCATGTCTCTGAGGTTCCTGTACTCTCCTGGCCTCACGTACATCATGCGCCCTCTGAAATTGGGCTGTTCGAACATCAGCCAGTGGCCGTCCAGCACGTTGCAGGACTGGCAGTCAGACATATAAAATTGTTCCTGGAGGGACTCGCAGTCATCCATCAGCTCGTGCATCTGGCCTCCAAAGTTCTCTCTTTCATAGATCCTCATCCTGAACTGTCCCCTGTGCTAATGGAGCGGGGGGGAAAGACACGAATCATGAGAAATGCAGTCTGTCCCAGGTCCAGCTGACCTAGCAGCTACCTCTTTGGACTTTGGAGTGTCTGTGCAATCCCCACATGAAATGGTACAGACCATCTACAACCACCAAAATGTCTTACCATGGGGATCATGCGACAGGAGCGAATGGTATCCATCATCGTCATGCCTCCCATGCGCTGGAAATCAGAGTACTCTCCTCTCCTCAAGAAGACCTGATTACCCATGAAGTTGGGGTGGTCGTACACCACAAAGCACCCACTGTCCACTCTGCAGGAGTTGCAGCGGTTCAGGTGCATGTGGATGTCGGAGCAGTCACTGCTGCACTCATAGGAGCGACCCTGGAAGTTCCTCTCCTCATAAAAAATGATCTGCAAAAAATAAACAGGAAAGAGGTGGTAAGCTGACAGCGCCACAGAGTGGTGATTTAATATTTGGATGGACTTGCTTTGCATTTCTAACCCTCTTGCGATGTTTCCACAAGTCTTAATTGTTCAGTATTGTCAGATTTTTCTTTAGCACTATACAAGCAAATGAGAAGTATTACCCTGCCCATGGTGACGGTTTGGTTTTTTTCCAACTGATGCCAACCCGTGCCACTTTTATATACAGTATGAGCCCGAGACCACCTTCCTCACCTTTGTGTGAAACATCCTGACTCATCATGAGGTTCACGTGGCACAGCATTCACATTTCACAGTATACCTCAATAGAGTTTGTTTAATACTGTTATTGTTACTACAACATTCAGTCTCATCTACAGATCTGATGTTCATACTACATCGATTTTTACAGAAGAGAGATGAATGCAATAGTAGAAGTTACTGGAAGGGAGCATAAATCCCAAATTTCTATCACAATACCTATTTGCAGAATCGGACATACAGTCTGCCACGCTATAGTGCTGCTGTGCCACAATATAGAGTGATGACTCAAAGGTTTCAGCACAAGCTGTGCAATGTATAAAAAGGGAAAAGGGTCGATGTTGATGAGATGTATCTGAGATAACCATGACCATGGGGAGGGTAAGTGAAACTTAGCCAATAACAGTAGAAGTTTTAAAGTTAAACTTCACGAGTTCATAATAACAAATATGCAAAATAGCTGTTTACAGGTTGCTTATTTACATATACTTCACTTGTTTTTCTCTTTTGCAGATCACTTTCTATGAAGACCGGAACTTCCAGGGTCGCTCCTATGAAACCAGCAGTGACTGCCCAGAGCTGACGTCCTACCTTAGCAGGTGTAACTCCTGCAGGGTGGAGAGTGGCCTCTTCATGGTCTATGAGAAGTCCAACTTCATGGGCCATCAGATGCTGGTGAGGAGAGGAGAATACCCAGACAACCAGCGCCTGATGGGAATGAGCATGAGCGACTGCATAAGATCCAGTCGCATAATCCCCACGGTAGGTGGATGACATTGAGCTGCATTCGGGGCCCAGCCACAACAGAAAGGACAAGACAGAGACCTTTTAAATATGTAGATGTAGAAGGCCAGTGACAATAAAAGCTAAAAAGAAACAGCCATCTGGTCAACATTTGTCTGAGCACAAAGGCTGCCCTCCTGCATGCAGGAGAAAAATTGTAATTAACTGTGAAATATATTGAAATAAAAATTGAGCCTAGCTGTTCAGTCTTATCTTTCTGCATGTATAATATTTTAAATTTAGGATTCGCTCACTAGAAGTCATCCATATCTCCCAGCCTTTTTTAACCATCCTGCTCAGGTGTAATCACCTGTCCTAAATGAAAGAGAACAAAACTTCCAGATCCCATGGATATGGCGATATAAAATGAAGCAGCAAAAGTTTTCATAAACGTGGAAGAAGATGAATGGAGGGAAACATTAATGCTATTTATCCATTTATGCTCATTTTATATTTAATTTTTTTAATAATATTGCTACTTTATGTTGTCCAAGATGTAGTTTTAGATTTACATTCTCAGCTAAAGATAAGTTTTATAGACTTACAGGCCACAGTCATCCTGCTTCTTCATCCACAGCACCGAGGCCCCTTCCGAATGAGGATCTACGAGAGGGAGAACTTCGGAGGCCAGATGTACGAGCTGAGCGACGACTGCGACAACATAATGGATCGTTTTCACATGTCTGACTGTCAGTCCTGCAACGTGATGGACGGTCACTGGCTGATGTTCGAGCAGCCCGGCTTCAGAGGCAGGATGCTGTACCTCAGGCCAGGAGAGTACAGGAACCTCAGAGAGATGGGGAGCAACATCACAAAGTTCAGCTCCATCAGGCGCATTATGGACTCCTGTTAACTGAAAATCACACACTCCAAATGTACTGTGAATAATAATAAAGCAAGCTGAAATCCCATCCAGACACACCCCTGGTTTTTCTAATGTAAATACTGTAAGTCAAAATTCAGTTGTAAGTAATATGTTAGAAAGTTTCGAAGATTAACTGCATTTACAGATGCTTCAAAGTTCTGTATTTGAGAGAGGATTTACTATTAGGAAATACATCCCCAAACAGAAATAATAAGGAATTCTGAATACTGAGAGAGTTCGGTTTTATTTTATCAGTAAATTTCAGAACTAGAAGCTCATAAGACTTCTATTTGTATCTAAAACTCAAAGACTTTAGGAAGAAGGGAAACTGTAAAGCATAAGTAAGTGAAGTTTATTTATATAGCACTATTCACAGACAAAAGTCACAAAGTGCTGTGTATAAATTAAAAGACGATATGAACAGAGAACCGTGTTGAAACAATCAAAAGATGTGAAAGTGTAGTGGGTTTGTAATGAGCAAACCATGCTGAATGCCAAACAAGAACGAAGAAAACTTCCCCCCAAGCTTATACCAAGACTGAGAACCCAAGAAGAAGAAAAATAAAAAACAATCCAAGGAGATAAAATCAAAAGGACTCATTTGGTGGACTTTTAAGGATTCACCTCTTTATTTTTAGACGGTTTAGGAAAAGAAAGATGAAGGACATCAGTTGTTTGAAAAGGTTGTCACCCTCTTTTATGCCCGTGTGATCCATTAAGTGTGTGCCTTAAAACTGAAGCACTTGGAGTAAATAGAAAGTAGAAACAGTATGAGGCACAAGTGCTCATATTGTGTATTTTGGAGGTGACATGGCCAAATTGGCTAAGGCCACTTGTGGAGTGCAGAGTCCCCCCCTGTGTCCATCTTAAATATTTATTGAGTAGATTGTACATTATAGTATAGTATAGTTGATCAATTTCTTGCATGTATTGATGTTTAATTACTTTAAAGCTGTTACATATATAGTCTGAAGGTTCCTAATGGACTTAACCAAATCATCACTAAATAAAAGGTCTATTGTATTTAATGAAACTAGACAGAAAGATGTAATATTCTACAGTTTCACACAATGTAAACACTCTAAATTGCACAGAACAGGTCTTAATGTATGCATTTTATATTTGCAACAGTAGTCCAAAAGACATTTTGAGTCTATCTGCATATACTTAAACCAGTAAATACTACATGAGGCGGGGTTTTTGTTTCATGTAGGATCAGAAATAGAAAATAAAAGCCTAAAAATGCCATTTTAGTTACATGTTCACATAGGTTTTTTGCAGTAATACCTCAATTTTCAATAATACCTTCAGTTTTTTGTTTTTTGTTTTAAAGGGAGTTACTATTAAACAGTGTTAAATAATTTCTGTCCCTCACAGTCTAACACTGATCCTCTGCCTTCACTGTTCCAGCATGTGTTTGATACAGAGCCATCATCAGGCCAGAACAAAGGCAAATCAAACAGCTCCAAGCTATTTTGCTGATATGTAAATCTACCTCATTTGGGTATCAAAGACTTGCCACACTCTGCACATTTTGTTTATCGTTAAATACTTTGATGGGGCTGCAGCAAAGAATGAGGTCTACAGTGCATCCAAATGGGGAAGGTAAGCTAAGACCTGTTGCGATCAGTGTGCGTTTAAAGACTCTTCCTCCTCTTGGGTTTATTAAAAGCGTACGTTTTCCACAGATCACATTTTTTGAGGAGAAGAAATTCCAGGGTCGCTGCTACAACTGCAGCAGCGACTGCGCTGACCTGCACACATACTTCAACCGCTGCAGCTCCATCCGAGTGGAGAGCGGCGTGTGGGTCATCTATGAGAAACCCAACTACAAGGGTTTCCAGTACGTCCTCAGCCCAGGGGAGTACACCGACAACCAGCAGTGGATGGCCTTCAACGACAATGTCAAATCCTGCCGTACCGTCAAAAATGTAAGTTCCCCCCTTTTTTTCCCAAGTTCCTTCAACCACAAAATCCAGCAGAGGTTTCACATAGACTGCTTCTGGAAATGTGTTTGTGCAGTCCCTGCAGGACAGCATTGTACAAGGGCACCAGTCCAGGCTGGGTGCTCACTGTTAAGCCAGCAGACTAAACAAGTAGACAATAGGAAGCACAACTGGCAGCAACTTTTAGCTTTTTCTTAAAGAAAAAAAAGATTCATGTATGTAAGAAATGTAATTTCTTTCTGTTTGATGGAACATTTTAGCCTCTTTAAGCTTATTGTTTTGATTTAATCAGTCTGTGCTTTAAACCAGTCTAATTGACAGTGCAAAGACCAGCTTTTGAAGATATTACATAATAAAAATGTAAGTCCATGTGAGCTGATAGCCTAGAGTGAAACCCTGCACATGTATTTTTTATCTTTGGGAGGAATTTTCCAGGACTTTTCATAACACTAGCCATAAAATGAAAACGCTGCTCCAAAGTTGGCAGTGTAAATCTGCACCGAGTACACTGTGCTTTGCTTGTGTTTGCAGGTCTACGGTAGTGCGTGGAAGCTGAGGCTGTACGAGAGGCCGGACTTTGGTGGGCAGATGGTGGAGTGCTCTGATGACTGCCCATCGGTTTATGATACCTACAAGATGCGCGAGGCCTACTCCTGTGTGGTGACAGATGGTGCCTGGGTATTCTACGACCTCCCCAACTACCGTGGGCACCAGTACCTCCTGGAGCGGGGCGAGTACCGGCAGCACGGCGACTGGGGGGCATCTTCACCTGGCGTCGGCTCTTTCCGCAGGATCACAGAGTTTTGATTAACAGTCATAATGAAAAAGTGATGCACATGACAATCAATAAATGACTTATAAATGACTCAAACAAACTGACTTTGTCCTTGTGGATTTCATCAAATGTGCCTCAAGCTCGATTTGGAAGAATGAATACATTAATAAAAACCAAGTAGAACTATTAAATCACGCTATTTTAAAGATGTGAAGACTTTTTGTGTGGCAGTTTCACAAAGTTCAGGAATCTGCAATAGACTCCTCCTTTGTTAGACCTCTGGTGTAAATACAACACTACAACTCCATGCCATGCCATATATATATGTCATGTACGTGTATGTATATAAATACATATATTATAAAAGAAAACTCTGCACTTGTATTAACGGGCTGAGCATCCTGATCTTAGTTTAAGCAGGAAATCATAACTCTCTCAGGTGGGAAAGAAGCAGGAGAACCGAGCAACTATGACAAAGTACAAAGAAACCAGTAGTTTCACTGCTGAAGGTAATTCAGTACTGATGATTTAATGTTGGATACCTTTAAATGATGAATTGTATCATTACTAGAAGGGCAATACTTAAAACATTGTTATTGTTATTTTAAGAATCTGGATCGTTCTTCAGTAACAACAGCGATCTTGTGGTGGCAGATTTAAAGGTGAAGGTCATCGTGTGGGGAGTTCACCCTCTGGGGAGCATGAATGTTCATATAAGCTGTGGCAATCTGCTTGTTACATTTAAAAGAAAAATCTGCCTTGATGATTCAATAAAGGAAAGGAAGTTTATCAAAATGACATTTGTTTGTGTGGAAATGACTAAGTGTGGAGTTAAGGTTCTGATTAATAACAGGGTGGGAACAGGAGATCACCTTTTGTTTGTGTTGGTTCCTTTTAAATGCAATCCTGCTTGTTTCCTAAACATTACCTAACCTTCACCACAGTGTCGTGCTGAAGACCATCACTTGTGTCCTCATGCATTGTTTCAAATGTCCCTGCATCATGAACAGTGCATGGAATCAGCTTATTTACCATGGAAAGGAACGCTAGGGGTAAATGATCGATCAAATTACTGCTTACTTGTTATAATATGGATTAGTTATAAAATGTGTATAAATATCTCCAGCAGAGTCTCTGGTGCCTTCCTGCTGTGTCACTGACTCAGCTCAAAACGTTTCATATCAAACCAACTGTCCTGCAGTGCCCTTGTTTTTGTCAGCACGCTCTGCTGCATCCAGTGGCTTTGGGATGCTTTGCACTGTGCATTTGCATTGTTTAGGGAAACAGGATTCACTGCTTCAGAACAATGTGATAAGCCTGGATAAATATTTGAATCAGTGACTGAATAATCCAGTTCACAGAAAGCAAGCCATGTGCTTAGTTTTATTGTCCTTGTTCTGTATAAAGTGAATATAGGAGGTGGCTGCTTTAATGTTTTATATCACACCAAACCTGTTGATATCGACAATGGAGAAGGTACTGTATGTTTAAGACAGGCACATGTTTGTGGCAATATGATTCATGCTTATACCGTATTTTGAGATGAATGAGTACAAAATGTGTTTGTTTTACCATAACAGCCACTTCCTAGAGTTCAGTGAGTGCAACGTTTTATCAAAACTTGTTTTCTCAGATCATCTTTTACGAGGACAAAAACTTCCAGGGTCAGTCCCATGAGTGTGACAATGATTGCAGTGACCTGCACACCTACTTCCCCTGCTGCAACTCCATCAGAGTGGAGGGAGGATTCTGGGTAGTCTATGAAAGACCAAACTACATGGGCTACCAGTACGTGCTAAGCCCAGGAGAGTATCCAGACTACCAGTATTGGCTAGGTATCAACGATTCCATCAGGTCCTGTCGAATTATTCGAAATGTAGGTGACTAAATATGTGTGTGAATGGTGTATAATCAATTCACAATATAATACAGTAAGAAACCAACAATGCAGACATTCCCATTCTTTCATTTGTTCCTTCCAGGTGGGGAATTCATGGAAGCTGAAAGTTTGGGAAAAGCCAAACTTTGAAGGTCAGTCGATGGAGATGGCAGACAACTTGCCTGCCTTCCCTGAGAACTGGAAAAGCAACAATGTCCACTCTTGCAAGGTGTTCGAAGGAGCCTGGATCTTCTTTGAGCACCCAAACTACAGGGGGTGCCAGTACCTGCTTGAGAGGGGCAAATACAGGAGGTACGCTGAGTGGGGGGGCATGCAGCCCAGCGTTGGATCCATCCGCCGGGTTAAAGAGCAGTAGCCACTGACAAATCTTTGAAAAAAATAAAAACAAGGAAAATAACTAAACATGCTTAAAATAAAGTCATGATAGAAAATTAAACATTGGTTGTCATTTATTACCCATGATCCTTTTCACTCATTATCCCTATTGTGTTACATTTAATCACAACATTTAAAAAAAAATCAAATTAAAGCTTTTTTTAGACTTTAAAACTTAATATATAAATAATAAATATTGATTTAAACTGGACAAATGCAATGTTTAAATAGTGAAAGTCATTTTAAATCATAGTAAAATAACTACAAGAACTTTAGGTTAAAATTTGCACCAGTATATAAACTCACGTGCACGTTATGCATGCACTTGCATTACACAAAAGAAATATATTAGGTTTTTTTTTATATCTAAGCTTTTTATTCATTATATAAATGAGTATATTTATTAAGAAAAACAGGAGAATACACACAAAATTTTATTATTTAATATTTATAAAATGATGTAATGGTCAATGGTTTATATTTATAAATATTTTATATCTAACTCTAGTAGTGAATAGTGTTCAGATGGGAAGGCTGTGCATGTGACAATAAGAACAGCTATAATAATAAACAAGAGGATAAGTTACAGTTGACTGGGCAAACAAAACAAAAACAGAAAAATAGAAAAAGAGTATATGTGATGTAACATGAAATACAAAACACAATAATACATGCTGAAACAATGTTTCCATAAATATTAAGATAACAGCAGCTATATCCTACTGTATATTACTGTATACTTGTATTCTATTGTACATATTGTATATCTTATTCCTCTGCTCCTCTGTCTCTCTGGCTGCATTGAGCATATGTATGACAAAAGAATTTCCCTCGGGATAAATAAAGTTCTTCTTATCTTCTTATCTTATCTTATATCCTCCTGAGAACCGAGGAAAAAAGAATCTTCCCACTGAACTTTTTTGTGATTTCCTGCCTCTTTGGAGCTAAAAGAAACCACCCAAACACATGAATATCAATGGAAAGCCCAGGATGTCCTGTATTTAGTACCAAAAATCAATGTCCATTACAGAGGACATAAATGATTAGGCTGGTTCTTCGGAGGATATGGGAGGTGACATGAATGAAGAAGTGATTTTTCAGCAACAATATTTCTATTTTTCTAGAGTTAAACAGCATTTCTGCATCAACATATATAAAGGCCATGTGCTAAAACAATTGCAGAATCAGCTAATGTGCCGATGTTAATGGAGAGCTCATTTGAATGACAATGATTCCCCTGGCAATGCAGTTCATCAGCCTTTATTTAAAAGTGGACTGCCGGCAATGCAGTGTGTATGAGTGGCTTTAATCTGATTGGGTGAGGAGGAACACGAGGCGATTATGGAGCGCACAGGGAAGGTAAGCGCCACAACTGTGCGACATGATAATGCCGCAATGACCTCACGCTAAGCTGTGGGTGAATTGCTTCTTGCTAAATGGCGTTGAGCTGATGTCCTGTCAAATGTTAGTTTGTTAGTGTGACGAGCGGGCGGGGCTTTTGTCAGATATAACCTGATATAACCTGAAGTGCATGAATGTTCCTGCACAAATAAATAGATGGTAACCCTGACAAAAACCTTAAAGCTGAATTATTTCATTTTTAGCCACTAGGGAGCAGCACAAAAAAGTGAAAGTCCAACATTTGCCCTGCGTTAGTACAACAAACTTATCTATAACTATCTCTAACGTATAACTCAAATTCTCTGTCAAAAGAGTTATATCAGCGGTGTTGTCCATAGAGATATGGAGAGTTTTAGGGTTTGCTTTACTTGCACAGCTTTTAATTCACACTCTTGCTTGCAGATCTTTTTTTACGAGGACAAGAACTTCCAGGGTCGTTACTTCGAATGCAGCAGTGACTGTCCCGAGCTGAGTTCCCACTTCAGCCGCTGTAACTCTGTTCGGGTGGAGAGTGGAGCCTGGGTCATCTATGAGAGACCCCAGTATATGGGCTACCAGTACGTCCTCTCTAAAGGGGAGTACCCCAACTATCAGAGCTGGAATGGCTTCAATGACACCATTCGCTCCTGTCGCTTCATTAGATATGTAAGTCTCAGGAAGCAACCACAGAACTAGAATACTATGTATACTTTCTTCTCTGTAATTTTTTTTGAGAGCAATGCAACGCTGTGAGAAATGTTCTCCTCCTTACAGGATGAACAAATGTGGTCTTAGCTGTTTAAAGTTAAAGGAATTCCTATCTATTATTAACATGTTCTTATTTTTAAATCTTTAAGCCATCCACCAGGCACAGGATCCGCATTTACGAACGTCCAGAATTCAGTGGCCAGATGATAGAGTTTAGCGAAGACATGCCCAACCTGCAGGACCGCTGGCGCTATCGCGACATCCACTCGGCCCACATCCAGGACGGCACCTGGGTGTTCTATGAGCATCCGAGCTACAGGGGGCGCCAGTACCTGCTGGAAAAGGGCGAATACAGACGACACTCGGAGTGGGGAGCTCTCAATCCATCTGTAGGCTCCATTAGACGCGTCGTGGACTTCTAGATCAAAAGCTCACTTGCCTTTTCTTGCTTTCCTCCCGTCGCTTATTCAAACGAGCAAATAAACCCACAGGCATAGACAAACAATGAACTGCTGTGATTTTATTTCTTGTTGTTTTAAACCAACCCAAAAAAACAAAACAAAAAAAACACTTTGCGGTGCCCAGCGGGAGTTTTTTAATTAGCGTGCCAACAGCTGGCGGCTCGTGGTAAAGCCTAGAAATAAAACTGCTGAAAAAAGCCTGCTGGTAATTCAGGAGGGTTCACCAACAGGGGCTAGTGGTATGCCAGCAGCCAGCTATTGTTTATTTGTGCCAGAGGTGGCAGAAATAATACAGCAGAGCAACAATATCCACTGCCCAGCAGGTGCCCAGACAACAACAGCAAAAAACTGTCACCATGTCAGACAGCTATGGTAGTTCGCTGATACATAGTACTGCGGATATGATGCAGGATGCTGATTTTACGATTTATTTAACTTCATCAACATCTGCCTGACCTGGGCTCAAAGTAGTGCCTTTACATTTGATACAGTGCTCTAATCCAACACTGGTAATGGTTTACATTAATGGCTCTGTTACGCCCGTCTAGGGGTACAGGAACGTAACATAAGAGTTAAAAAAGGAAGTGACCCCGCCCCGGGCCCCAAAACCATACACAGAAAAACCAATTTCTTAGTGAACGGTGCTTTATTTGTCTACACTGAAAATGAAGCTCCGGGGTGAACAAAGGCCAAAATAACAAACAAAACAAGCTAAGTCAGGTGAGGAGGTGCTATCAAAAAACAGTACAAGGAAAAATAATAAGGCAGCTCACCCCTTCTGTTTCAGTGCTATTTACAATGTGCTATTTACAAGTGAAAACTAATGTACACACTATATACAAAGCTCGGTAAGTCACGAGAATCTCAAACATAAATGTCACAGGTTTTGGAAGCCAGGGTCAGGTCTGCTGCTGCTGTCAGTGGCTGCCCCGGGACAACTGCTGGTGAGGGATTTTGAAAGCAACCACATGATCAGGGGACCAATCGGCAGCCGTCAGCTTATCCAATCAGGGACCTGCAGAGACTTAAAGACACAGACAGGACAAGAAACAGCCACCAAGAAATTATGGCCAGAGCCGTAACAGGCTCTAATAATAGTGAATAATTTACTTATACTTTATAGTTTAATTATTATCTTTTAATAATAATTAAATGATACCTTTAGGGTTGCCAGGTAGGTTTAGGGTTTGGACAGTTTGTCCCTCTCCAATCTGTATTTTTCATTCTTTTTCACAATGTGTTTTCAGCCTTTTATGGACTTTCTGACCTTTGACTTTCTGGAGAAATGAGCTTGTGTCTAAATGCATTCATTAACATCAGCATATGTACATGATGACGATTAAAACATTTTTTTAAATAAAAAAATTAACAAACACAAGAAACAAAGCTAAATTGTTTCTTGTGTTTTGTAATTGTATTATAATTAACAACTAATTATAATACCAACTAATTAGGCTAATTGACAACAGCTCAGGAACATGATTGGGTATGGCCTCAGGAACACTTCCTTATCACTGTCTTTGAACACAGTTCACTGTGGCATCCACAAACGCAGGTTGAGGTTGTATCATGCAAAAAAGAAGCCACAAACATGATCCAGAAACACTGCTGTCTTCTCTGAACCAAAGCTTGTTTAAAATTGACTAAAAGAAAGTGGAAAACTGTTCTGTGGTCAGATGAATCAGCACTTGAAATTCTTTTTGGAAAAAATGGAATCTGTGTACTCTGGACTAAAGACTAAAGGAACCATTTGCCTTGTTATCAGTGCTCAGGTCAGAAATTTGTGTCTCTGGTGGTATGGAGGTACATGAGTGCCTGTGGAACTGGCAGCTTGCACATCTGGAAAGACACCTTAACCAGCATATACAGATTTTAGATCAACATTTGCTCCATTCAGATCACATCAAACTCAAAACGAGCTAATATTGCTCTTAAAATTATACAATGTCTCAATTTCAGTGTGTTATTTTCTTTTCAACTGTAATTAAAAGATGGGGTTACGTGACTTATCATTACATTTTTATTTTATTTACACTTTACAGTGTTCTGACCTTTTGAGAAGCGGGTTTGTCATTGAATTTGTAATCTGTGAATTAATTTATTATTAAAGTGCAAAGTCAATGGTGTCAAAGGTGAATCTGAGCTGAGAGCTGCTAATAAGTGGTCAGTGCAGAGCAGCTGGCTTTTAGGGGTTTGTGTGCAAACGTTAGAAAGTTTAGGAGGAGCACAAAACTATGCAGGGAAAAACAATGTGATCTAAGATCTCTGGTTCTATGAGAGCTGAGGTAATTTATCACTCTATGAGGACTAAAGGATGTAGGCATGAGAGCCACCCAGTGGTTTAACAACTGCATTTCACATGACAGGAAATAAGTGTAGTAAAAAAGCTTTAAAACTGTGCGATTTAGTAAAAAAAAAGAAAAAAAGAAAAAAAAAAGAATACCCATACATCTCTGTCTTTTTTAATCCTGATATTTTGCCTTGTGATCTGTTTATGTAAAATTGACTAAATATTGTAAATCAGCATAATCCCTGAGAAGTAACTGATCCCATATTTAGAGCTAGTCAAAACAATAATTATTATACGGGTGTAATTTTACTTACAATACTTACCCGTTGCTGTAGGTCAAAATGGGGTGATAATTTATCATATGTGACAACTTCTGTTTCCCTAATAAATATACAGATAAAAAGATAAAAAGGGAAAAAAGACATCAACACACAACTGGAACATTTGATAAGAAGCTTTAAGACTGCAGTGTGTAATTTCCTGTTCCAGGATATGTTCAACTATATCACGCTTGTTGATCTGCCAGAACGGAAGAATAAATTTTAAAAAAAATCTGTGATGTGATATTGTGCACAGTCGTAGACGTGCGGTGGCCGAGCAAACAGGAGACACTGCAAATCAGTAACAGAGCTGCTGAGCTCAGCTGATGTTTGAACTGGAACTTTTATCACACGCACAGATCCGTTCTGGCATCTCCCCGCGCTGATCGAGCACTTTCTAAGTCGAATGCAAACAGTCGGCACAGCCCTGCAAAAAAAAAAAAAATCCACCTGAAGAGGTCAGTCAGTACGAAGCCATAAAATAAACATTTACACGCATTTTCACTGCTACCAGATCAACATTAACCCTTTAACGCTGAACAGCTGCTCTTTCCTTCCTGTTGTTTGGATCCATTAATTGTAAAGTCGGTTTTATGTCATCAGCTCTGTCAAGTTCCTTTTTAATAAATACATAATATATTTGGGACAAAAAGAGCACAGGGGAATAAAAGAATTACTAAATCTATATTCAGTGGGTGATGCAGTCTGCAGAACTTTAAGCAGAAAAATGCACAAACACCTTAGTAATATGCACTGATTTTTCTCTTAGGTAGACAGGAACACTGTATTTGTTTAGAGCAACATGTTGATAACTGCAGGGTTTGCAATGTTGTAGCTTTCCAAGCATTGTAAAGAGCCACCTGTTATTGTGGAGGTACTGTATGAAGGGATTTACCCTGTAATCATGTGGAATTTCTTTGGGTGATCACTCTGCAGCAGCAGGTAATGAAGTGGAATGAGATCAGAGTAGAATTAAAAGTGCAGCAAGGGCTCTGCCACCCACTGAGATGAATACTCTTCAAACAGTCATGTGCGATGCTGGATTAAACCCGTCGAACATTTGACAGTTTCCCAGTTTTTACAGGACTACTTAAATATCCTCAGTGTTACATGCAGTCCAGGTCACGGGAGTCTTTTTTGAAGTCTTATCCCCACAAAAACACATATTCTGTGGTAGCTTCCAAAAACTGATGGATGTGCCTTCAAAAAAGAAATAAACTGTAACTGGGGCAATACAGGTAGCTGAGGAGGAACATGTGAAAGAACTGCATTAGGGTTGGGTACAGTTTTCGGTATTCCACAGTCCTGAGTAAGAAATGCTCTAAGTAACAAAGATTTGAAGCTTTTCTAGGGTTAATGGCCCTCAAAGCCAGATTTAACCTTTTCATACATGTTCAAGTGCTTTATCTATCTTGCATTCACACCTATGGACGATTTACAATCACTAGTTAACCTAAAATGCGGATTTTTGGGAGAATCCGGAGTACTGGGAGGAAACCCACATAACCACATGGAGTTTGTGCCGTCTGCACACAGAATGGGATGATAATGAGGCTGGGAGATAGGACCTACTGTACTTGCTGTGAACCAACAAAGCTATAAAGTCTTTTAGGGTCTTATTGTAAAACGACTGTTAGTCTGATAACCTGATGATGCTCCCCTGTGCCTGTGCTCACCTTTATAGTGAGTATAACATTGGTTCATCTTATTCCAGGCTGAAGCTAAGAGACACATTTTTTATTATTTCTTTGACTTTTTTTGTTAAATTATTACATATGCAACTTCCCCCCCAAAAAACCCTTGTAATTGACTGTAAGGTTTAATAACAGTAACACTAAATATATGATCTACTCAGTGGTGGTTGTCGTTGTAGTTCCAATTGTAACATCATAAGAGAACAATAAAATTAAGGAAATCAATTATTATTACATGGCAAGTATTTCTCTCTCTTCTTGCTATAGTGTTTATTATGATCTGTGGCAGGAAAGATGATCTCATGAATATAACCTAGTTCGGGTGTCACACTCATTTTAAATGCAATTTCAGCAGTTTTTCTACTTGATAATGAAATGATGTTGTAGTCAGTGAAAGAAAATTTGTCAGCGTAACTCTTTGGGCTTAAATTGTGAAAAAATAGTGTAGAATTAAATATAGTAGATTGTGTATTACATTATTACTTTGGTGCAGCATGCATGGTCTAAAGATAAAGATCTCTTTATCTCTGAATTATGCCATATTCAGAAGTTTGCAGATGACACGGCCATCATGGGGTGTATCTGGGATGATCAGGAAGAGGAGTACAGAAGTCTGGTGAGGAACTTTGTCGCATGGAGTCACACAAACCACCTGCAACTCAACACCTCAAAGACTAAGGAACTAGTTGTTGACTTCGGGAGGTCCAGAGAAGGTCCACTGCCGGTTCAGATAGAGGGGGAGGAGGTGGTCAACAAGTACAAGTACCTCGGGCTGTGGGTGGACAATAAACTGGACTGGTCATGCAACACAGAGCACCTGTATAAAAAAGCCCAAAGCCGACTGTACTTCCTCAGGAGGCTGAGGTCTTTTAACATCTGCAGGAAGCTCCTGAGGATGTTTTACCAGTCGGTGGTTGCTGGAGTACTTTTCTATGCTGTGGTGTGCTGGGGGAGCAGCACAGCAAAGGAGGACTCACGCAGGCTGGAGAAACTGATCAGGAAGGCTGGCTCTGTGGTTGGCATGAAGCTGGACACTCTGGTGACAGTGGCAGAGAAAAGGACATTAAAGAAACTGATGGACATTATGGACAATGCTGCTCTGCACACGGCCATTAACCACCAGAAGAGTCTGTTCAGTGACAGGTTGCTTCTCCCCAAGACAAGAACTAACAGACTTAAAAACTCCTTTGTCCCACACGCCATCAAACTGTTTAACTCCTCTCTGGAGGGGAGAGGGAGGGGAGACAGGAGGACAAAGGAGGGGGGAACAACTAAGCTGTAGTGCCTCTTCACCTCACTGTATAATACCTTGTGCAATACTTTTTGTAAATAGTCAACAGTGCAATAGACTCAATACTTGAAATGTGCAATTCACTTGTATTTTTATTTTTTATTCCTATTTATTCTATTTATCCCCTTTGTATATTTTATTTATATTTGTCTCTGTATTTATATACGTGTGTGTATGTGTGTATATATATATATATAATATTCTGTAACTTCTGTCGGTGCTGTGTTTGTTTGGAAATCGAATTTCCCAGAGGAACCCACCCGAGGGATTAATAAAGTTCTATCTTATCTTAAATATGTATGTGTGTGTGTGTGTGTGTGTGTGTGTGTGTGTGTGTGTGTGTGTGTGTGTGTGTGTGTATACGTGTGTGTGTATACGTGTGCATATATGCCCTGCTTCAAATTTTCTAAAGCTGCCAGGCATTATGTTTAACACGCCTGATTTAGTTGAAATCAGTAGGCTATATAATAAACCAGCAAAGGCATGCTTTTAGTGCTATTTTCATCATTATTGTTCCCGTGTAGAAGTTACAGATGACCTTGAATTTGGTTATTTATTTACCTGTTTACTTTATAAGACCTTAATTGCAGCGCTGGCACTTTAAGACAGTCCTGGTTTCATGAATGAAACGCAGCCATTCATAAAAAAACAGAGGGGGCCGGGCCACAGAGCAGCCTCGATGACGATTGGCTCGCCTTCTGACTGACTCTGAGTTCCAGCCAATGGCAGGGCAGGAGATCGCTCGTTTTAGCCGCAGCTATCAGAGTCCTTCATTGAGAAAAATCCACAGCCGAGTGATTAATCGAGGTGCTGCATGGGATGTAGGGGAGGAAATCTGCGACGAGTTCTGTTTTCACACTGCCAAGAAACTTCACTTACCGAGTGAGTCTTCTTCTTTTTGTTTTTATCCTACCGCTTTAGTAAAAGCTGGCGCCTGCTTGCCTTTAATTACATAAACACCAGATGCATGGTCGCGGGTTTTTTTTTCTTTGCTACAGGCTCCGAGGGGAGCACATAGGCGTTCAGAGGCTAACGCCATTTTCTTAAAAATCTAACTCGGCGCTGCGTTTATTCCCCGCGACCGTCTGCCTGCCTGCAGTGCGGCATTTCCGTCTGCAGCAGCCTTTTTTTCAGCTTGTTGGCGCCGGGAATCCTTCACTGTTTGTCTGTGGCGAAATTTCTCAATGGTGAGCGGGTGTCTCCCCCCCCTCCTCCTCCTCCTCCTCAGCCTCAGCCAGTATCGTGTTTCACTTCATTGAGAAAAACAAGGAGGACTCAACGAGCGTCACGCGAAACTCCATTCACAAATCTTTCACTTTAAGCGAGGATTTGTTGCTAACGTTAGCGGAGTTAGTTGGCGTGATTTCTCCTCGGTGGTGTTTGTAGTCACTGAAGCAAAGCCGAGTGACACACACACACTCTCACACTCACACAGTAAATCGTTTGTAGAGGTTACTTTAACCGAAGACTAGACAAAACGTTACGCAACGTCGGGGGCTGACCTTTTCATCTCTTGAAATAGTTTTTCACTGTTTACTTTTGTCCCATATTTCACGAGCTTTAGTTGGACTCTTGAGCAGTTTGAGCCAGGTCAATAACCCCCCCCCCCCTTTTTTTAATTTTGTTTGAAGAAACATTAAAAATGTAGAAATTTACAAAGCTTTGAAATCTGGTGTAGTTAAGAGGTGCAAAACATTGTTAAAATAATGTCCCATATCTTTATCGCATATATATACGTTTATCGGCTACTTTAGGTACACCAAGAAACCAGTTTGAGGTGATCTGAGCTTTATGACGTTGTGTTGTTCTGCTGGATGTGTACACTACGGTCATAATGGGATGGGTATGGCCAGCAATAAAGCTCAGGTAAAGTGTGGCATTTAACAATGCCCAGCTGGCACAAACTGCAGCACTACAACCAGTTACAGGTGGTTGGATCCATGCTTTCGTCATCTGAATGTCACAGAAGAAATCAGGCAGCTTTCTCCCCCCTTGTCTAATTATTGGTTAGCCTGTGCAAATTTTAGCCTGTTTCCTGGTGACAGGAGTGTCACTCGGTGTGGTCTTCTGCTGCTGTTGCCTGTCTGCTTCACGGTTTGAGGTGTTGTGCATTCAGAGATGCTCTTCTGGTTGTACCAAGTGGTTATTTGATTTATTTGTTTCCGCCTTATTAGATTGAAGCAGTCTGGTCATTCACCTCTGATCTCTAGCATAAACAGCCTTAGTAAACTCTAGAGGCGATTGTGCGGGGAAACCCAACAGTTCAGCAGTTTCTGATATACTCGCACCAACAACCATGCCACATTCAAAGCCACCTAACTTCCATTTCTTCCCCATTCTAATGCTCACTTTGAACTTCAGCTGGTCACCTTGACTGTGCCTAAATGCACTCAGTTGCAGCAATGTGATTAGGTATTGGCATTATTAGCTGAACAAGTAGTTTGTTTGTTTGTTTTTAAATGTTTCTTCTTTAATCCTATCTCTTGGCAAGCAAAGCATCAAACCATTTTAATTCCTGTCTTTTCAAACATAGCATTGTCATTCTTTGTACATATGCTTCTCTGTACGTCATTAAAGTTGGCACGGCACAGCCAAAGGAAAAGACGTCATGTTTTATTTGACTATTCAGCTGCTTTCTTTTCATTGCCTCAAATCAGCCTTTGAAGAGCGATTCCTCCCGCAGCTTCACGTCAGTTTATTCATGTCAGATTTGCGTACTGCAGATTGCATAATTCTTTCTGTGACAACGGGGCTTTTATAGCCACTGTAAACAAACATGCCAAGTCATGTGAAAGGGATGATGGTAGTATGGATGGAGGGGCTAGTCCTGTAGGGGGGAAAAATAGACTACGATAGACTTGGATTTCTGCTTAATGACTCCAGTATGTTCAAAGTATATCACTTCCTCACTGCTCATCCCAGGGTGAAGACTCCTGCAACATGGAGGCCTTTTATGATCAGCAGGTTCCCTTTGTGGTCCCTGAGAGTGTGAGTTTGAAACGTTATGGTTTTATATTCTTATCTTTTTATTGTCTTGCTGCATGTGTGCTGAGTTTCATTCCTTTGCCCATTTCTGCAGAAATGTCACACACAGGAAGCAGCAAAGTGTCTCAGCGATAGGAAGAGGAAGTTCATGGACACCGAGCTGGCTCAGGACACAGAAGGTACATATAAAACTCAGACTGACTATGAAACTGCAGTTAACTTCTTGTGAGTGCCAGGATAACATCTGTCTGCTGGATACAAACAATGTGGGGAGAAATTATATTCATAAATTTGCTAATAGGATTTTTTTTTTTTCCCCTCCCCTGTTCTTTCAAGTGCCCCTCGTGGTCTTTGGTATTTCTTTAATAGGTCATGCTTCTCCGACAGTCTTATATAGGCCATTTGTCATTAATTACATGTGAAATGTCAAATAATTGCACCCACACACATTCTAACAAATGAATGTGAAACCATCTTCCAGATCTATTCCAAGACCTGAGTCAGCTCCAAGAAATATGGATCGCTGAAGGTGAGCATCCCACATTATACAAATGATGTGTGATAGTTGATGAGAGGGGTCCTTAAACGGCATGTCTTTTCCTCCCTCTCAGCTCAAGCTACCGATGACGAGCAGTTTGTCCCGGATTTCCAGTCCAATAACTGTGAGTACCTGCTTCTTCTTGGATGTTTGGAGAGATCACGATTTCAGGTTTTAGCAGTGGTGCGCACTATTTATGCACGAGAGTATTTTTGTGAGAGCTTTATGATGGGTCTGGAACTGAGCGTTGGAAGTTGGTCTTTAACGTGGAGTTGGACATAAGAGGGTTGGCACGTGTGATCACATTGCACTGTCAGCTGTTGGCTCTCATTTAGGACATGTGCAGCTTCCTGCTCAAATGGATAAACTCCACTGAACTTACCAGATTGTGACTCGTGATCTCAAAGGTCATTGGTGTAAAACCAGTTGTTTACAGTGCTCTCATTCGTTGGTGTTTCCATTCCCCTTGGAGCTTTGCCAGTTAAATGATAGTCGTCATGTACCAGAGGAAATGAGGCGAGATAAAAAAAAAAAAAAAAGTACTGTACTTAAAAGTGTTACAGATAACGCGGGCGATGAGGAAATGGTGCGTTTAGTGCTCCTGCCAAACACGTATTGCATATACTTATTGTTGCCGTAATCATAGCTGCTTCAACACAACGACTCCCCGTGCGGACAATAAAGCTGACGGAGACCGTGTCGTGGATGGAAACATTAGCGGCCTGGCGTCATCGGCGCAGCATACTGATGAGAATCTCTACAGATTCCTGGAAAGCTCAGATCAGATAGGGGTAGGTTTCCTTTCTTTCACAGACGCAGGAGTGGGGAGCAAACGCTGAAAGGGACGATAAAGGAAAAACTTTATGCTAAATGGCAAGCCTGCATTGCAAACTGGAAGAGTGCAACTTAAAGATGTGCAGAGCTTGTCTATTTAATGTGAGGTATCATTGCTACTAAATTATCAACATGAGCAGATAAGAGTTACGAGGGAAATATTCAGGGTCTGAAACGCTGGCGGTAAACTCTAATTTGGATCTGAAGCCGTTCTGCCACACCGGCAGGCAAATGTTTCCACCAAAGCTGCCATTTAATAGGTCTCGAGTGTGTTTTGGTTATGGAAGTGCTGCTTCAACAAACACATTATTTTCCCAACCAGTGTTCCCAGAGGTCATGTTGCGTAATCCTAACTGTCTAACCATTACGCTCACCAGGGATCCAACACTAGGCAGTTGGAGGCAAATTAGGAGTGTGAGACTTGTGTAACTGTGCAAAAGATGAACTGATGATGATGAAGTCAATTAAAATGCCTTGGCATTGAATAGGGACAGAACATTCAATTTTACTCATTTGAGACAGCAAAAAACACAGTTTTGAGCTAAAGACTGACTGATGTTCATATACTTGTAATTGTAATACCAGGGGGAAAAAAAATATATTTTTAGGATATTGGAAGTTAAAGAACTGAAGTAACACAGGTGGGGAAAAATCAACAATTAGATGACCCCCTGTGAGCAAGCACTTGGTGACAGTGGGAAGTAGAAACTCTCTTTTAACAGGAAGAAACCTCCAGCAGAATCAAACTTGAGGAGGGGTGGCCATCTGCACTGAGGCATTGGGGTTGAGGGGAGGGCAACAGGACAGACGAGACACTGGAAATGCAAAGTGTTGTACAGAGACACTGTGTTGAGTAGAACACTGCATCATGGGAAGCCCTGCGTAGCCTAAGCTTATCACCTGATTCTGCCTGAACTATGAGCTTTATCAGAAAGGAAAGTTGTTGTTTTTTTGTTTTGTTTTTTAAAGACTAATCTTTGAAGCAGTCCACTTGGCCATCTAATGTAAGGGTGTTCATTCCATGCTCTGCAAACATGTATGTATTATTTGCCTGTGTGTTTTTTGCAGTGATGTTTCATGGACTGGCCGCCAGCAAAGTGAAGCGTGAACCCAGTCCGTCCAAAGACTTCTCTCCCTGCAGAACGCCTCAGGCTGACATGTGCCTTTACAGCTACAGGTAACCATTCATGTTTTTAAACCTGTGTGTGATATACTGCAATACTACCACCACCACACACCTGGCAGACAGAACCTTTGGATGATGTGTTGTTATCTGGTCTCCTTAGTGCCTGTGAGCCCGCTCCGACTCCATCCTCCACACCTGCAGTACAACAACGTGGCTCCATCCACTCTACTGGACCTCCACCTTTACAGAGGCAGTTACAGCCATCTACCCCTCAGCTGACCAACAACTGCTCCCCAAACCACACTCCTGCCCTTAGCCCCTCCCACCTCCGCAACCTTCCACAGGCCAATCAAAGCCAGCAGTTTGCTATGCCACATCCTCCCATCGGCTCTTCCAGTGTGTCGTTCAATGCAGAACAAAGGTAAGCTTTAAAATAAATCTATATATATATACATATATATATACACACACACGCACGCGCGCGGTTTAAGCTGGAAGCGAATGAGCTTCAAACCTTTAAACATCCACTTCTTTCCACACTTCAGGTTCCAGCGGCAGTTGTCGGATCCCTGCCTGTCTTTCCTTCCTCCAAAGAAGACCGCAAACACGCCATACCACCCCGCCATCCGTGACGGGAGGCCAATGTATCAGCGCCACCTTTCAGAGCCTCTGGTTCCCCACGCTCCCCGGGGTTTTAAACAAGAACTGGTGGACCCGAGATATCCAGAGCCAGGGCCTCCTACGTCAGGTCTGGCACGTCCTCAGACTGCCTTCAACCATGTCACAATTAAACAAGAGCCAAGGGACTTTGGCTATGACTCGGGTATGTTACCCTTAGTGTGGCGACGGCATCTGAATAAAATGTATTCACGTCTGTTAGGGTAACAGGCAGTCTTGCCATAGGTGAAACATTCAAATAACTACAGGCCTAGGCTCAGACACTTTACATTTGCTTGCAGTTGATGAAGAATTGTGACTTTTGTGCCTTTCAGAGGTTCAAACGTGCCAGCCGTCATCCTTTGAGAAGTCTGCTTTGTACCAAAATAACAGTGCAGGTGAGTTTGTGTCCTGGGTTTAAAAATGCCTTTTCATGCTGCCACAGCCTTTTTACTCTATTCTTTGCTCCACAGGATTTGGTCCAGACAGAGAGCAGTGTCTGTACTATGATGACACCTGTGTTGTGCCGGAAAGGCTGGAAGGTAAGACACGGACTTCCAAAACATCCTTGTTAACACTTAGTGTATAAGACAAAGGAGGGAAGGACAATATCATTTAAGGCAGTGTGCTGTGAGCTGGCGGTATTGTGTTCGTTATTGGCATTTGCATACACCAGTTTGAGTATTCTGTTTCTAATGTTGTACTATGTTCTGTCCAATGAGACATGATTTTTAATAAAAAAAAATTTAAAAAAAGCATTATTTATTTATTTTTTTTAAATGAGCAAACGATTAAGAAATTGGTTTAAAAAAAACCAACCAACAAAACGGCACAAAAGCAGGAAAGGTGACTTCTGCGTGTCTTCACCAGGTAAAGTGAAACAGGAGGGTCTGCCGTACCAGCGCCGTGGCTCCCTGCAGCTGTGGCAGTTCCTGCTCACACTCCTGGACAACCCCGCCAATGCACACCTGATCATCTGGACGGGGCGAAACATGGAGTTCAAGCTGATTGACCCCGAAGAGGTCAGCTACTGCATACCTAATGTGGAACTTTGAGAAGCTTAATATTCTTAAGACTGGGGAAAAACAACATTTTAAAGCCATATATTAATTTTTCCCTCCCCCATCATGTTTTTAGGTGGCTCGGCTCTGGGGGATCCAGAAGAATCGACCTGCCATGAACTACGATAAGCTGAGTCGCTCGCTGCGGTACTATTATGAAAAGGGCATTATGCAGAAGGTAAAGGCAGGTCATGTTCCACTTGAGTCTTCCTTTACTCCTATGTTGTTGTAATCACAAACTATTAAAAAAAACTAGCTATTGGGCTCTTACACTGAAGCACTGAGTTTCTGACCTCTTATTTCTAATCTTAGCCTCTAATGAAGCACATCTGGAAGCCATCCAGTTTAATGTTTTGAGTTTTAAAAGACTTGAGGTTATTTTATATATATATTTTTATAATTTTTATTAAAGGCATTTATTTATTTATTTATTTTATTTTTTTGTGTGTGTTGTTGTACCAGGCTATTAAACATCATCAGTGTTGTTGTTTTTTCTGCTGTTTTGGTCATTTAAACACTGAAGTCCATGGAGACTGACTCACTGTTTAAACCAGCCTCAAGTGGCCGTTAGAGAAACTGCAGTTTTCTGTCCTCAACATTTT